TGTTTGGATATTTTTGATGTTCGTGTTTTTCCTCGTCTAGTTTTCACGGAGGTGAGGTCTGGGAGTGAAATGCCAGGACCTGCCAGTGGTTCTTCCTTGGTAACGTTGCTGCCGAACCTCAACTTCCATGTTTTACAGTCTCATGGAGAAGGGTTGATTTTTTGCGATAATGCGGTAAAAGAGTTTCCATGGAGGGAAGAGAAGCGTGGGGGTTTGCCACAACTTCCGTTTCGGCGTCCTGTTGCTCACGAGTTCTCTTTGCTGAGTGGTTCCCGTGGTGCGATAAAGTCGTTTCTTGCAGAGGGTGGGTGTTTATTCTTGCTTTGTGGTACGGGAAAGGTTTCAGCAGAACTCCACAAGATGTGTGCTGCCGCCGTAAATGAGGCTAGTCTCTGGTGGTCGCAAGAAATAGGACTTTTTTCGGAGCGACTGAAGAACCGTTTGACGTCATCTTCACGGGGAACTTTGGCTCCTACCGATTGTTTTGCTTCTGAACAGGTGCCCGGAAATCCTCATTGGTCTACTACATCGGACGTTTGGGCTTCCGTGACGCCTGCAGCAACTTTGGTGGAGTCGTCTGCGGCGGCAACGAATGAGCAGATGCCTTATTTACCTGTTTATTTTTTTGACGCCGTTGTAGAGGAGACTGCGATGGGCAATGATCTTGAAGCAGAGTCTCAGAATGGGAGTGATGGTGGTGAAGGCCACACTAGCAGCGCATGTAAAGAGGAAAAAGCTTTGCTGCAGGAATACGTTCTCTCTGAGGTGCTTGAGGATGCGCATCTGCTGCCACCGGTTGAAGGAGAACCGTTCCTTCTTTGCGTTCAATGGCCTGGACGACGCGCTGCCGTGCTTCGACAAAAATTTGAATATGAAAATGGTTCAGGACCGGCATCTGCAATATCCCTGCGTTCATCCTGCAGCACTGGTACTAATGCACCACATTCTAACAGTTATGTGACATCAGGGAACGCAATGTTATTGGATGCACGGCAGGTGGGCATGGCTGCGTCTTCAGGAGCCTCTACGGTGCCATGCCAATGTCCTGGCTATCTTTCTGCCGCAATGCGGTTGGAACCTTCACCAGGGCTGTATTCGTCGAATCCACTGTGCTCAGTGCCACATGTGAAGGCATTTATAGCTCAGCATGCTGTGTGGCGACGTCGTTAACTGTATTTCGGGGCAGCGCGGAAGCGAATCTTCATTACTATTGCCATGTTGATTCTCCACTTTCCCCATTCTTCCTTCTTTTTTTTTTCTTCGGGAGTTTTGTATCAGTGTGTATTTTCTGGACGCTTACCCCTTTTGCCCCCCAGTTCTCCTCCACATTTTTTTTTTTTTCTGATGATGATGATGATAATGTTTTTTTTTGTTTTTTTTTTGTGAGATATGTGTATACGGGTATGCCGATTTATCTCCACACAGTCCGTGTCCCTTCCGTTGTCTTTTGTGTCCACCCCTTTCAAAAATGTCTCAGTTTTTTTTTTCCTTTTTTTTTTTTAGGGGGAGGTCATTCACATGATGCGGTTCTGTTGTGATGTGGGCTGTTGAATCTCTTTGCACCGCCTGTAACGTGTCCATGCGTGTGGCGCCTTCAACTCTTGTTGTGTTTGCTTTTCTGTGCTCCTTGTTGAGGGGGGAGGGGGGAAGGGGTGGGGAAAGGAGAGCCAAGGGTGCGCACAGCGGCTTGCCTACAAAAATAGGAGCGGTAAGAAGAAAGGATCCAACAGAACCAAAAAAGGAAGAGGGGAAGAGGTAGTTGTTTTTTTTCGTTTCCCCATCTACCATAGAAATAGATTATGTCTACGGAGGATGCGTATTTGCCTCTGAGGCGCATCATTCTTGGGGCGTTGGCGATTTTCTGTGCTTTTGCGTTTGGCACTCTTCAGAGTTTGGATGCAGTAAAGTTGTTTAGCTATTTGCGTGCGAACGTTCATCTTCGCCGCATCATGGGGTCGTGCTTGGTGGTGAATGGTGTTTTTTTCCTTAGCATATGGGTTGCCTCCCTTCTTTTTTCTTATATGTGGACCTTTGGAGAGACTTTTATGTGGAGCAGCGGTGCTGCCGTTATTGATAATGAGAGCGGCGGAGGAAAAGCGGCGGTCACAATGAATGGAATCAGTCTTGCGGGGAAAGTTTGGTTTTCTGTGTTTGATGTGATGTGGGTTCTCCCCGTCTATGCACTCACGCAGGCTCTCGGTGTGCGTTGGTACAGCGCTCTCTATACCGAGGCCTACGCCGAGAAGAAACGTCGTGCGTCCTCGTTGGGGGTGCGGTGGGCAGCCAAGGATTCCGGCAGGGATGACGACATGTGCTTCTCGTGTGCCTCGCAGGGCGCTGAAGATTCATTTTCTCTTCGCAGTGTCGCGGTATCTCTTAGCGAGATCATGTTCAAGGCACTGGTGACAGCTGTATACGCCCTTGTGGCCGCGGTGGTGGATATCATTTTCCCCTCTCCAGTTGGACATTATCTTGCCTTCATTATGAATAGTTGGCTGTACGCTTTTTACGTCTTTGACTATCGTCTTTCTTCACAGTATTTATTTGACCGTAGGTCACGACGTCACATCCGCGTAACTCTATCGGCAACACTAAAGTTTTTTGAAATACAGTGGGCCTATTTCTTGGGGTTTGGTGCTACCCATTCGATCATTACAGCTGCTATACGGTCTTCTTGGTTAGCATCCTCGTGGTTTTCTATCGCGTCGGTAACATCCGTCCTTTTTGGGGCTCACATTGTTATTTCTGTGGAGGCAACTCCGGCCCCTCGCGCACCATTTCATGTGCCAATGTTCACACCGTTCTTCGCTCTCTGTGGTATGGTGCTGCGCATGGCTGTGGGGGCCGTGCGTTGACTCCTTTGTGTCTGTGTGCCCTGTGTGGTGAGGGCTGGATTTCTTGCAATGCCATGCTTGTTGCTGTTCTCCGGAGTGGCGCTGGAGTTGCCGGGGAACAGTTGGACGGAACAGTCTTTTGTTTGCAGAGCCGCGGAGATCTTGCACAGCTGTCATATTTGCAACGCGACGGGAGGGAGTGCTGGAAGCATTTCCGTGGGACGAGTTTCTTCTCTGAGTCTGCAGGGCCGGTGGTGGTTTTGTGCGAAGCGTGTGCTGGACGGCGGGCGCTTGGGGGTGACAGGAAGGAGCCGTGCGTGTTCCGCCTGCTGTTCCTGGCCAGGATGCTTTCTGGCCACGTGGGCCCACCGCTCTTTTTTTCATTCACCTCCGTATTTCTTACCTGTTTCCGTCCTTTTTCTCTTCTCTTTCCATCTCTTGAACGCAGCTTACCTTTTTTTTTGTGTACGCCAGACAAGAACAGAAAAAAGTGTTTGAGGAAGTTAAGTGCCTTTTTTGGGTTGGTTGAAGGTTTTCTGATGAAAGTCTTCTTGTGTATTTTGCTACTTTCTCTTGGATTTATCTGGGTGTGCGGTGCCGGGGAAGTACTGCCGCCTGAGGCCTATGAGAACCGCACGTTGTATCCGGTGATTCCAACGTACGACCGTCTTCCCCTGCTAAGCATTGGTGTTCTTAGTGATATTCAGTACGCTGACGAGGAAGAAAAGTCTCGACGACATTTTCGCCTTAGCCCCGGTAAGGTTGAGCACGCTGTGAAGGAGATGAATGCCAATCGCAGTCATATGGACCTTGTCATGCATCTTGGGGACACCGTCAACCGCGACATCGCAAGGAATCTCCAAGTGATTGATTCGCTTCTGAAGCAGTTGCAATTTCCCTTTTTCCAGTTACTGGGGAACCACGATTTCTTGGAGCTGGGCGAAGAGCACCGTGATCATGTTTATCGTTTGCTGAGGATGCCAGCCCGTTACTATAGTCTTCAGGTGGGTGAGGGCGGCGCGTTCCTTCTCATTGTGCTCGATGGGACGGATCTGTCGGTGTTTGCAACAAGAGCCGGTACTGCCAGACGGGCAGAAACGAATGGCATGAAGCATCGTTATCGTCATCGCAAAAATATGTTGGATGTTAATGGAGGCATTGGTGAGGAACAAATGCAATGGCTTCGCATGCAGCTGGAGTACGCTAGTAAGCAGAAGATGGTTGTGCTGGTATTCTGTCATTTTCCCATGTACCCTTACGACGATGAGCTCAATCTCTGGAATGACGTGGAAGTTGTGCGTCTGCTCTCCAATTATTCCTGCGTTGCCGCTGTCATATCGGGCCACACCCACCGTTGGGAGCATGAGCAGCTTGTGGTGGCTCACAAGAACGGGGAATTCACCATTTATTTTGTTAAATTTGGTGGCATTGTTCAGTCTCCTTTTACCTCTTGGGGCTTCATTGAGGCATATGAAAAAGAGCTTCACTTGCACGGTCTGAATTTTGGCCGTGTGTTTGACTATCGTCTGCCCATCCGCGGGGTGCCTGGGGGGTCAGTGTTGCGCAAGACAACACGGGTTTTGTCGTCAGGGCCCTTTATTCGCCGCCGGAGGAATGTAAGGGTGATTTCTCGATGTGGTGGTGACACAAAGTGGCTTCGAAACATCATACACCAACCCGTTCCTAATAAGACTGTGGGCAGAACCGAGAATGTTTCAAGTTTAATGTGGGTTGAATGTGTTATTTTTTTTTCTTTGGTTGCTGTCATCGCTCTGCTGCGTTTGATGTGTCGGAAAAACCGAAGGCGTCAAAGTAAATCTGTCAGTGTTAGGAGCAGGGGTGCGGTGCATTAGGAGAATTTAACTGTTTTCCTCCACGAAGGGAAAAAGGAAAAAAAAAACTGCGAGTGTAGATGTTGCTGGGTAATTAGACGTCATGGCCAAGGTTGCGGATGAAATGTCTTCTTTACTGCGGTTCTGTGGAGACAACTCCGGCCCCTCGCGCACCATTTCATGTGCCAATGTTCACACCGTTCTTCGCTCTCTGTGGTATGGTGCTGCGCATGGCTGTGGGGGCCGTGCGTTGACTCCTTTGTGTCTGTGTGCCCTGTGTGGTGAGGGCTGGATTTCTTGCAATGCCATGCTTGTTGCTGTTCTCCGGAGTGGCGCTGGAGTTGCCGGGGAACAGTTGGACGGAACAGTCTTTTGTTTGCAGAGCCGCGGAGATCTTGCACAGCTGTCATATTTGCAACGCGACGGGAGGGAGTGCTGGAAGCATTTCCGTGGGACGAGTTTCTTCTCTGAGTCTGCAGGGCCGGTGGTGGTTTTGTGCGAAGCGTGTGCTGGACGGCGGGCGCTTGGGGGTGACAGGAAGGAGCCGTGCGTGTTCCGCCTGCTGTTCCTGGCCAGGATGCTTTCTGGCCACGTGGGCCCACCGCTCTTTTTCTCATTCACCTCCGTATTTCTTACCTGTTTCCGTCCTTTTTCTCTTCTCTTTCCATCTCTTGAACGCAGCTTATCTTCCTGTCTTTTTTGTTTCGTGTGTGGTCCTCTTTGTCCTCTGACTTCATTCCAAAGGAGAGAAGTAAGGGAGGAGCTTCCGACGGTTGTGGCGGCAGAAGTTAAAAGGTATCACGGTTTGGTTGTGGAAAGGAATATCTGCAAAGAGCTAAAAGGTAAAAACAAAACAAAACAAAAAATAAATTTTTTTTGAGGAGATGTGCGTCGTGCTTGTATTTGTTTTATTACTCTCTGTGCTTGGCGTTGACGCAGAAGAGGAGGACGTGAGGAAAAACGATGAGGTGGTGGCGCGTCTGCGCGAGGAGTTGGCGGAGGAGGGCGTTGAGCCGTTGCCAGAACCGCCCCGAGAACTCGGTGCTCATGCCGCCTGCGTGAGGCACGGCGTGGGATGCCCGGACGAATACGTGGAATTTCTGGAGTCGTTGCAGAGGACCCCACACACTTTTCCGGAGGCGACGCCGAGAAACGATGCAATGCTTGCGGCACGGAGCGGAAATATGTGGCGCCAAACGCCACGCCATGGCGCTGGAGAGGGAGGGGCCTATTCACGTAAGGGTGAAGATGCTGTTATTGAGGTTCAACTGGAGAATATGCGGCGTCTGCGTGATGTAATGCGTGAGCGGTTGGCCAGGCAGCAGTCGCCCGAGCAACAGTGGAAGTGCAAAGAGTTTCTGTGGATTAGCAGAGGGCTGAAAATGATTGAGGCCATGCATTCCGTATTATTGCAAAAGTACTGGAAGTTTGTCATGAATCAGCTTCTTCCATGCGTCCTGCTTGTTTTTGTGACAGTGTGGGTCTTTACTGGCAACCGTATTCCGCGTGAGCACTTGCGCAGTCTCCTTGCCGATGATCCCGTCCCTGTCTTCAATGAGGTCATAATCCGCCGCAAGTCGCCACAATCCGTGGCGCAGCTTGTGATGGAGCGTGAAAGCCACAATTTCTCCAGTATGGTTGACATCGATGATGGTAGCAGCAGCCCCACTGCCGTCCCTAATGGCTTTGCGAAGGAAAAAGAGGACTCCATGCAGGCGATTATAAATTATCGCCGTGATCGTTGGTTTGCTACCCGCTTTGCCCTGCTTGAGGCGTACCATGAAGCCCATATTGCGGGGGTAGTTTTGAGACTTCGCCTGGCGTTAAGTGCAGCTGTTTTTCTGATGCTTTGCTGGACTCTTTTCTCCCTCGTGCTGCGAGCTTCCGAGGTGCGCAGAAACAGTGACGGTGGAATAATACAGCACCTATTGGTTATTCTCTTTCCGTCATGGGTGACGACCTCTTTCGTACTGTACATTGGCTGGTCGTGGATTGGCGGCATGGTGGCATACGCCGCGTGGGAGCTATTGTCTACTGGGGAGGCTCTGGTGCGCACGGGTGAGCGCGCGGCTGCTCTTCATGAGAAGATTCTGGAGCGCTGGTGCGGCTGAGCGGGAAGCGAGCGAAGAAGTGTGATTGGCGGAGAATGGAAGGGGTTATGAAGGAAAACAAAAGGAAACAAACAAAAAAAAAAAAGAGAAAAAAAAACAAAAAAAAAACGTGGAAAAAAAATGGGAAAAAAAGGACGTCTGTTTGGGGGAGGGAGGGGGCAACTAAGTGTGCGTGACAGAAATGACGCAGATCTTATCTTCTTCGAGAGCGGGGGGAGTGCGAAGGGAACAACATCACAGTGCACCCTAAAAAAGTTTTTTTTTTTATTATGTACAGTTTGAGGCGCTATTTTTTTGCTACGGTTAGCAATACTCCTCTCTACCCGTCCCTGCTTTCATAATGCCCTCGGCAAGGCTGGATGTATGGAGATTTGGCATTGTACATGTGTACATATTCACCCACCCACACATCCCACGTAAATACCCGCACACGCTCACACGTAACTGCTTATCTACATTTTTTTTATTGTTTTTTTTTCTTTTTTTTTGCTGCGCGATAAACTGCAACGAACAACAACTCTTTCCTTCAACAACAACAAGTCAGGGGAGAGGAGGAAGGAAAAGAGTACCGGGGGCAAGGACAAACTGCAGGAAGTAAAGCGACTGCACAAAATATCGGAATGACTACTGTGGATCAGGTGGTGGTGTACGCCGACGTGCGTGACCCACAGCTGCTAAATCAACTCACCGCGGCTGTCAGCGCTCTGTGCAAGGATCACACTATCCATTCACCTCCTACTTGGAACTCCGCGGACCCACTTTGGTTTTTAAACTTTTGGGAGAAGGAAAGGGATGATGTTTGGACATACGTTAATAATAAAGTCCCGATCTTGCGCCGTTTCGAGTGTTTTGTTACGGACTCAAAGGATCAAAAAGATGGGGTTGTGGCATACGCGTTGTATTATCGACAGATGCCCGTGCTCTCGCTTGTCACAGCCGTCACTGGCATTAAGGAAAAAACCGAGGTGAATGAGGACTGGATTACCACCGCGCTCTACCGCACAGTTGCCAGGATGGGCTGCTCTTCTCCCAGTGATGCCATTGCCGTATTCTTCACCTTCCCGAAGTTTGCGGGAAAAGTATTGGCGTTGGAAGGCGAGTGCCGCGCGCTCGTGACGGAACAGTGCCGGCTGTTGCGCGACTACATACTCCGTGAGCGGAATGTACCGGTGGAACTCGTAGGAGCCGGTGGCTGCGATTTGAGGAGCCCCGATTTAGTTGGGAAGGGAGCGACGACGGCCGAGGAGGATGAGGAGGAGGAGGAGGAGGAGTCTGCTCTCTATGCCTCATTGATCGACGATCTGCTGAGCAATCCCGAATTTCTTCCTCTTCGCGAGTTGGATCCGCAGCTGCACGGGGCTCTTTGTGCACTTAACCGTCATCACAACCTCCGTCTTCTTCGATATCGGCTACAGCGTGGTATTCATGTCATTCTTTCTCGCCCGATGTCGTTCGTTCTTGACGAGCTTTTTCGATTGTGTGGCCCGCAGGCGGTGCCACCGTCAACGATGCTGGAGGGCCTTGTAAAGTCGATACAGAACTTTGAACACCACTGGCTTGAGCTGCCGAGGCCGGAGGTGATTCTGATCCGCGTGACGGGCGACGCGGCTACGAACGGCGCGGCGAATGCCTCGCTGAGATGGACAGCATGCCTTTGGGACGAACGGCAGACACCGGCTCTCGACACGCTGTCGAGTTGGCACGTGGTGACTGTGGGGGACGCTGAGGGCGAACATCGTCAAACACTGGGCCGGCTCCATGATGGGGTGCGTGACGCGGCGACATCCGTCCTTGCACTAGCAGTAATGAGAAATACATCCATAGAGGGGGGGAATTCGTGAGGAGGCGTGTAGACGCATGAGGGTGAAGGAGAAGGGAATCAGCTCCCTCTTACTTTCATGGGTTTTGTTTTCCGTAACTTTGTTGGTGTTTTTGGCTTTTGTGTTTCTATGTTTTCCCACTCTTTACCTCGCTGCATTTGGCAGATGTGTCATGCATGCGTTTGATACTTCTGTGGGACGTCCGACCTTCAAATTTTTTTTTTTCCTTTGGACCTTTTGTTTGTTTTTGGCATGTGCATGTGCATTGCTTATTTATTTCTTTTTGTGTACGCGCTTACATGCCAGGAGAGCGGGTTGTGGGCCAAATAAGAAACGAATTTTCATATGGCGAAGATCAACGCGACCTACAGCTCCGGCTACTACCTCGCACCCGACACCGACTACCGCAAGCTCGAAGAGGAGCAGCGGCGTGAACGGAAGCGGAAGCGGCAACAGGAGGGGGATGACGACACGGGCTCGTCTTCTGCCAGCGGGGCCATTCGACAGACGTTCGCGATGCCGTTCAATATCATTTGTCTGCACTGCAATCGCCGTATTGCGCGCGGAACGCATGGGTACGTCAATCGGCGGCCGACGAAAGAGAAGTTCATGGGTATCCGCATCTGGGAGCTCGAGTTCCGCTGTATCTTCTGCAAAGGGCATATCTACTTGACTACGGACTATGAAACAGCGAAGCTGACAGGCGGGTATCACTGCACCCGCAACTGCAGGCGCGGCGAAGGGGACTTCTACGGAACGAATCAAATCAACGAGGCTATTCGGGCAAAGCAGGCGGCGGAGGAGGTGGAAAAGGGATCACTGGACGCATTGGAGCGTGAGAATGAGGTGATGCGGCAAATACAGGAACGCGAGCGACTGATTGAGGAACTTGTGGAGTCGCGGGCCGGCACGGAGGCGGAACAAACCCGCGATGAACTTCTGCAGACCATTCAGGCAAGGAAGAGGAGTAAGGCGACACGCCAACGCGAAGATGACGATGAGGAGGAGGATGACGCCAAAGAAAATGTGCCTTTTGATGAGGAGGAGGAAGAGGCATACCGGCGCTTCGAGGCACAAATGCAGAACTGGCAGGAGGAGGCGGAGCGGTTGCTAAAAGGGCCGTCGAAAAGTGATGCTGGGGATGATGACAAAGTGGCCGCAGCGATCATATCCAGGTACACAGATCACGGGAGCACGCGGCCGAATGTTTTTATGGATGAATCGGACTCCGACGCTGACGGTGACACCGAGAATGGTGTTCATGGGCACACGGCAACACCCACGGAAAAGAGTCGAGGAATGCCCGTAGCTGCAGGCGCCAGGACCGCCGCTGGGCGCCGCAAAGGTAGTGCGTTGGCGTCCCTGTTGGAAGATTTTTAAGTTCTCCCTGCTGACTCTCATGCAAAATGGGCTAGGGGGCGCTCGTGTGAGCGGTGGTGTAGAGGGCCCGTGCTGACTCGCCTGTTTTTTTTCTTTTTCTTTTCTTCTCCCCGCAACTTTACGGCAATGGCGTCATGGCTTTTTCCCTATCCCACTTTTTTTTACAGGAGCGTAGGAAGCAACAATAGCAATAGCAGCGGCAAAGAGTTGTCACTGCTCTTGCTCACATTCACTACAGTTAATTAACAACACATAGCCGAGGCACAAGGGGCCGTTCTTTCAGTGTTTTCTCTCCTTCGTTTAACCACTAGCGGTCCTTTTGTAGTAGTAGTTGTTGTTGTTCTGTGTGTGTGTGTGTGTGTGTGTGTCTGGCTGGATGTTGCATACGGGGAGTTACGGCCAGTTTACCTCCGCCCCAGGAGCGGCGTACCCAGGGCACCCCGCAGGCAATAGCGCCGCCGCTTCTTTGTCATCCACTCCAAATGAGGGAAGAACAAAACTGTTGGCGCACAACCCGTTTTCCACAATGAGGGTTTCTAGTGACGGCGACAATGAACATCGCACGGAGGTCCGGAGCAGTTCGGCGCCGCTCTACCAACGCCCACCCGTGGCGTTTGGGACTGCAAGCTCACTCCACATGAATGTCATGCCGGCCCTCACTGCCGCTGCGACGAAATCACAAGGGAGTAAGCCGCTCGAGCAACCACCACCACCATCACGACATCTGCAACAAGGGCAAGAGGAGTCGCATCAGCATCATCTGCAGCCGGCTTTGTCTCCCGCGGCAAACCCTCCCGGGTTTTCGCAACGAGTGGTGGAAAACGCTACTGCGGCTTCCCTATTTACAACTTCCCAGGTTGCAGCACCACAGGCTGTTGTTGCAGAGAACACGAGGTTCCATCGATCTCCATCTGCCCAGATTATGCGCGGTCCGTCGCTGAATAGTCTTCCTTCAGCGAGCTCAGGCATCGAATTGACTCCGGGTGATTCCACAACAAAGAGATCGTTGTATTTGAGAAATTTGCTTAAAAAGGACCCGCCGGAGTTTTTGAAACCATCTCCGGGGGCACCGGCGCGGCGGCGGTCAGCTTCGGGACAAGGACGTGCAAGTAGCCCATTTGGTCCGATGCTATCAAGGCTATATGCGAACAGCAACGCCCAAATGGCACCAGACCCGCGCTCGTACAACGCAGGGACGAACGCCGAGGGAAAACAACAGCAGCAACTGCAAGACTCCCTTTCTACGCCTCGTCCACCGACGCCCAATGAGGGAGAAGTGGGACCGTTATCATCCATTGAGGCTTCGGTGCCTGCTGAACAGAAAAACGATGAAAACAACGACAACGCCAACCGCCCCTCGGCATCTGTCTTTTCTGGAGCCCAAGCCAGAGTCCCTGAGGCTTTTTCGACGACGGCGCCACGGGGATCGCAGTTTTTTCCGAGAAGCGTTGGGGTCTCCGATACACTGCTGTCCTCTGGCTCATTTGGAGCAAGCGCCACGGAAAAACCTGTTCACGGCAGTTCGGTGGGTGAGCAGCAGCTTATATTCCATGGAATGAGGCCTCAAGATGCAGGCTGTAGTGAACCGTCGTTTTCGTGCTCGGAATTGAAGTCCCAATTGGTTGACGAGAAAGGGTCAGCTTCAAATTGTGCACCAATTTCACGCATAGAGAGCAACGGGGCGCTCGGTACTTGTGGTCTAATGGACGGTACACAACCGCCGCTTGTGACACGGCAGGCGACTGCTCTACCAGGGGAGGTGCGAAACTCCAACCTTCTCTCAAACGGCACCCGCATGATGGCTGGAAATCTGCCACCTCCACCGCTAGCTCCTCCACCAGTGCCGATTTCAAAAAGTGGCGAAGTGCCCTCATTTGCCCCACCAAAAGCGTTGGGGGTTTCGGCATATCAGGGGTTAAATACGCCGCGGAATGGCGGGATTAGGCTACAGAAGCAACTGAATACGTTTCAGGCCACACCAGGAATTGAAACTGTGGAGTGCTCACCGGCGCCACACCCTCCTTCCCGGCAAGAGTCACAAGAGGGCTTGTATGGGGCCGATGGGATCACTTCCGTCGCGAATGAAGTGCCTTCTGCGGCAGCGCATGAGCCCCACGAGAACGGGGAATTTGAACATCCGCCGCAAGGCCATCAGAACACTTTTTTGTTTACGGATTTGCCTGCGACTGCGGTGGGGCTCAATGCTCCCGAATTTCGGTCCTTCACGGAAAAAGGAGGGGTGGCGAGATTTGAACCGCACAAGAACACAAGCGTGCATTCAAACGGGCCTCAGGTTAGGATGAGTGCGACCCTACCACCACCATCATCATCGCCGTCATTGGAAAAGCCGGGTACTTTCAACGAGAAGAGGGGCGTTTCTCTTGACGCCAATAAACATCTCCAGGCACGAAAACGGCAAAAACAACGGCAACAACGGTGGCTAAACAAAAATTTATGCTTTGCCCTAGTTACTCCGACTGGACGTGTTATCACGGTCTCTAATGTGTCACGCCCAGGTACTTTCGCAGTTATGAACTCACGGCGCCTGGTTGATGTGTTTTGTGGACGCGTGAAGGATATGAAATGTTTCAAAATTGGAGAGGAACACGGGAAGATGTTACAGATACTGGCCACATCTTCTTCTCTTATATCAAACAGGAATAATGACGTGCCGCTAACCAGTCTTCAGGAAATAGTGTCGAAAATGACAGGTATATTTCCTTTGTTTCGCGAGGTTTTGCTTTTTATGTTGCGTGATCCGCCACCAGACTGGCGCACGGAGGGGCAAAAGTCTCTTATTAAGATGCTTGCCACGGCGGTGGCGCAGATGCCGATTGCAACCGGATCACGTCCAAATTATCCGTTGAATTCAGAGCTTCCGCAGAATTCAGCCAAGGGACTGCAAAAGATACAACAGTTATTATGCGCAGGCGAGCGTGAGGCCGCAGTGACGGTTGCACTAGAGCACCACCTTTACTCACATGCCATCATCATTGCAATGATGTGCCCCAAGAAGGAACATTACATGAATGTCATTCGTGCTGTGGTGGAGCAGGAGCTGGATCCGTTTTCTCCCTTGGCACACGCCTACTGCATGTTTAATGAATTGCCGCTGCCACCGTTTGCACCGCCACCGCCACCGTCGCAGCCGTCGTCGTCGTCATCATCACTGCCGGTGGGAGGCAAAACCGACGAACGGTCTTCAATTCGGTCCTCATGGCTTCAGCATGCGGCCGTGTTGGTTTCCAACTTTACAAAAGATAGCGCGGATGGACTGATTAAACTTGGGGACACCCTGACAAACGATGGAATGATTGAGGAGGCGCACTGCTGCTTCTTGCTGTCCCATTTGAGCCCCATGGGAACACCGCCACCCGGCCGTCCGCTTCAATCCAAACAACAACAAATCATGGATCTTCTTCGGGCACGTTTGGGCGTCCTTGGCGGGCACTATCATCCCAACCGCCTCCGTAGTACTTTTGTGTCGCCAAAGTCAACGCTTTTGACTGATGTGCTCCAGATCTTTCGTTCTCATTTGGAGAGCCGCGGCCTGGCATCCTCAGGAGAGAAGGAAAAAAAAACACCTCCGCACGGAATTCCAGTCTGTCCGGAGCGGTACAGAGCAGCCTTTCACTATATGCAGGTGCTCTGGCTGTATGAAGTGGGCATGTGTGAAGAGGCCTTGCAACTCATGAATGATCTTCGTCGGGTTGTGGTGCCCGAGCCGACAAATGCCTCCTCATTTACGTTGAATCAACTTATTTTCAGTGGTGTTGTTTTATCTGCTGCTTCTGGGAGGGAAAAGCCGGCTCCACCCACGGGGAGGGAAACACCAGTAAGGCCGATTCCAGAGGAGAACATACCGCCCCCTATGCCGTCATTCTCATCTGCCGCGAAGACATCGATTGGTTCTTCAACCGGTTACCGATCAACATCTGCGCTGCCACCACCACCACCACCACCGCAGCAGCAAAAACAACAACAACGACAACAGCAGCAGCAGCTACTGTCCTCACAAACTTCCCACTTGCTAAATTCATCACAACGGTCAGGATTGCAACAACAGCCACTGGCACCATTACCGGCGTCAGTACAGGAGCAGCAGCAGCAGCAGCAACAACAAGTCATGTCCAATTCGCCTGCATTATGTACAAAACCGGATGCACCATCCCTCTCAGGAACGTCGAAAATTGCTCCCCAGGTGTCGACAGCTGCGGGGCCCGTCTTAAAGGGACCTCCACCTCCCCATTTTTCAGCACTGCCGGTACCAACACCTGCCGCGCCGCCTGCCATGCATTTGCCGGAAGCACCAGCCGATGCAAAGAGCAATTTTGCAACAGCTGAGAGGGATGCTCATGAGAAGTTGGACGAGCCCAGTATTTTGAATTCCGCCCCGTTGCAACAGCCACAACCACAACCACAGCAGCAGTCACGGGGACGAGCACCCGAAGTGAAGAGGGCACAAGAAAAACCCCCGAAACGTTCTAGCTCTTTGGAGGCAATCACTAGTTTCCTTTTCCGCCGCGGTCGAAGTGAGGACAAAAAGAAAGACGAGGCAAAAAAGATGATTATTGATACTGAGAAACCCCCCAAGTTTGACCCGGCGACTGGGCGATACCTCTTTGAGGATAAAGAGGCGGAGGAGGAGGCAGAGAGGATTAGGGCAGGGCCACCCAAACCGTCGTCAATGGCAGCAAAGTCTATTGCCGCCGGAGGGGCGCCGCCTTCAATGTTGCGCCCACCGACCGGACCAACTGGGGCGCCGCGAGCGGGAACTGGAACGATTCAGCGGGCGCGGTACGTAGATATGTTCAATGCCACTTGAAAGAAATGACTGTGGAGCGAGTGGTCAATTGAAGTAAAGAAGGAAATGATAAATAACTTTGATTTTTTTTCTTTTTTGTAAGTGTGCATCCTCTTATTTCTTTCATGTGTGTTTCATTGTGCGCGTGGTACGGTTTTTATCAGTATTCAACCACGACGAGAGGAGGGAGAAGGAGTGAAAAATGAATGACTCTACGATCAGCCACTTTGATGATTGACGAGTGGACATACGGGCTGCGCATCCATTTCTGCCTCCAAGAGCAAGAGAAAGAGAGGGGAACATGAGGAGCAATGAAAGAAAAAGAACATATTTGGACAAAACATGTATTAAAATACAGCCGTTTTTTTTTTAACCATTTTACCTTGTTGCCCTCATTTTTATTGTCGTATTCCTTTTTTTTTTCCCCTTTTGTTTTTGTTTTTATTTCTGTAAAGGTGAGTGAGGAGGTAAAAGGCGTGCTCACGGATGCGATGTGGCCTTGCATCGTTTTTCCCTTTGATACTTTAGTGCCCTCTCAATGACACAGGACTTATGATGACACGGTGCAATCGTTACGGCCACCGGTCCGTGTTTACTTCCCACGGCAAGCTGCTGGAGAAGATGTCATTAGACCTCTTTGAATCACCTTACCAACCCATTGGCGGTGATCCCGCGTCACAACTGCTGTTGCGAGACCATTTTTCGGCTTCTCCATCACCGTCTTCAAATGGGTGTGGTTGGTGCCTCGCTGCTGTTGCACGTTTCTCACCCGCGCAAATCAAATGGATTTCATTTCCGGATCTTCTCAGGTTCTTCATGTGGAAGAAGTGCTTTGCTCCAAAAGCTGTGGTGAGAGCAGTGACGACCCCCAGAGACACACACGAGTCTCTCTAAATCGCCATTTACACACCCCTTGCCATGGACTGCAGAACGGTGTGTGTCCCGTGGAATTGCTTTCCAAGAGAGCGCGGGGTTATTGTCAAGCGAGAATTGCAATGACCCTGACGACGTGCGTGGTGAAGAAATGGGCTTGACATCCTCTTATGCCGTTATGTTCCCTCCAAAAAACAAAGTGACTCGTATGGCGGAACTTCTTTCTATTTATTGACGCAAGCACCTTTGGGGAGGGAGGAAAAACCTTGTGTGTGACAGACACGGCAAGTAGAGGTCGTGGAGGAGAAGTGTGAGAGGCGGAGTTGAAAAACCGCAGGAGAGAGCGAGCAGCAACCTCCACTACTACATTTCCTGTAAACCAAAATGTTTTGGGCAAAACAGATATGAATGAATAATTGAAAAGATGGTGACAACAGTGATGATGAAGACGTGTCTTATCGCTTTGAAGTGAGCGACCCTACCAACATGATGGCAGCCCCAGCGAACAGCGCTGGTTTTTGATTTCCATGTCTTTATACCCCGTCGTGCCTGGGGACTATTGTGAATCCCACCCATTGTGTTTTGTTGCTTTGAGTCCTTTCTAAAACCAGAGGTGCACAGAGTACGTGCCATTATTTTACTCTCCCTTCTTCTTATTTTTTGTCTTTTTTTTTTTTGGTTATACCTGCCTTTTTTATTTTGGACGACTGTCTGTGCGTCTTTTTTTTGCTCATTTGTCCTTTGGACTTGCCTGGAAAGCGGGAAGATTTATAGGATGGAAGCCGTGGGAGAGAATAAACCGCACGCCCTTGCGGAGTCGCTCTTGGCTCACGAAATTAGTCCCGATGCGTGGCAGCAGGCGGTGCGGCCCGAGGCGAACTCACCTGCCGGACGGGAAGAAGTGAGTGGGGGCGATGGCAACCAGATCCTTTTTTCAGCTGCACTAGCCTCCAAGAAACCTCCAGGACGTTTGGTGGCAGAGCTGCAGATTGAGACCCTTTCGACGACGTGTGGACGCATATTTTTGTATTCGTGGTATTTTATGCTTTTGTTTGCGTTGTTTCTCCAGTCCATGGTTTCATTGCAGTGGGAAATGACAAACATTTGTGGGGCCACGCAAGAGAGCCTCTATAAGCTGGACAAGTGGAGTAGTCCCTGCGTTCAGAGTCGTGCGCAAAGATCCGATGCTATCAACTGGTCCGAATTTGCTGTGGGGGGAAATTTGCACGATGTTCCAGTGGACATTTTACAAGGTTCTGCCATAGGTGAGGAGGAAATAACGGGATCGGTAAGGAATGTCACTATTATACCGAATGATTTTGGGTTTCGCCGTCAACGTACCCTCCGTTGGGTAGGCGATGGCCAAGGAATGCTCCTGGATTTAAAACTTAACCGTTTTGTGAGGGTCATCTTGAGCATGGCCTCGCCGCGGGATCAGTTGCCGGAGGGAGTCAATTGGGAAAAGTATCCACTTATGATTGCCCTCGAAGAGTCACCGCTTCCCCCAGATGACAACGAGAGCAGCAGTAGTGACATGCAACCAAAAAAATCTGTCTTTTTTTACAACACGAGTACTATATGCTATCGTTCTAGTCCGCGCTGTTCTTCGGTGGTGCTCCCGCAGACCGTGGCGGTGGCTACGAACGAGTCGCGAATTACGCTTACCATCTTTGGAGTGGATGAGGCTCTGGCAAATGTTTCTGCTGCATCTGCCGTGGGGATATTTTTTCAACGGGCTGAATACACCATGGGTACTATTGTGTGCCGTTATGTATTTTTGCTTTTTTCCATTCTTCACCTTATTCGGTTTATTTATCGCAAGCGATACTCGAGAACCCTTTACGAGCAGCACTGGGTGATGTTCTTGCACCTGGCACTTTACCTGTACCTCGATCCCGTTTTTGTTGCGGGTATTTACGAAACCCAAGGAGCATCAGTGTATCATTTTTTTGAGTTTCACGTTCCAACCTACTTCGCGGCCTTACTAAGCTGTTTTATTTACGCATTGATTACGGCTTCCATGAGCTGGACTATCAGCAGTGAAGAGAGGGCGAGGTATAGATCTCTGTCAGACAGTGAGGCTCTTAGGGAAACTGTAGGGCCATGTGCCGTTTTTGCTTCTTCGCCCACCTTGGGGACCGCAGGTTTGGCTGTTGGTATGCCACCCGTGTTGACATCATCGTTACAGGAAGAGGAAGAACGATACCCATCGCCAAGGGAAATTTCGCGTCGGGCGTCTTTTTCGGGTTTAAATGAGGTTCGTCCCATTGAAGTGGTAGATGGTGCCATTCCGCTATGGGCGAAATTTTCAATGGTGAACTATTTGCTGGCGGTCTTTCTTCTTGACCTTGCCCAGTCTTATGTTGGAGGTTGGGATTGGGGAACAGATATGACGTGCGTGAGCTTCTCATGCTTATATATTCGCTACACCCTTTATAGCTTGATGCTGATTTTTATAATTGTTTGTTGTGTGTTGCTTGTACAGCTTCACCGCAGTCTTGGTAGACGCCCGTACTTGGAGACCCGGCCTCAACAGCTGGCATGTCGTGTTTTCATTTTCGTATTTACGACAGCATTGATCTACTTCGTCGTGCAGGTGATTCTGATTGCCTTTCTCTACCCTCAGATCATCGGCATCGTGGCGTACCAACCGTTTACGCAGCTTTCCCCAGTAATTGTCTCCACCTTTTTTGTCAATCATATCACATTTGTTTACACGACTACTGTCGCCTCACGTCGTGTGCCGATACGCCCTGAAAATCCGCATTGGCGCCGTGTTGTTTGGTCGAGCGAATGGTATCGCTGGCTTAATCTGCACGGTGGGATATTGTACATCTTCCATAATGAGCGGCAGGAGCGGTACTTTAACTGGGTGCAGAACAAAGGGAAAAATTCCTCAGAGCCTTGTTGTGAGGCAAATGGTACTGCCGTTAAGAAAAAGCGGTCAACACGGGAAGAAGTTGGTGAGGAGGCGAATGCCGGCGCTGCCGTGCTTGGAAGTGAAGGAAGGACGTGTGAACAAAGGGCAGCTGTGGCTGAGAACAAAGATGGGGACTTCTCTTCAGAGAGCAGCGACACCGGGGCGAGCGATAACGACAGGGATTATGTGGACTCACAGACGGAGAGGCCGCATCCTCTGCGAACCCCGCGGACCCGAGGCGGGGTGGTGGAGTTTCTGGAGAAGGCTGAGCGTCACCTGATTGACCGGCCCGCGATTCTTATTGATCACCTTGAAGGGGTCCTGGTGGATCCTCTGCAGTCTCTTTTTTTGCGCCGCAGGGGTCGAATGCCCTTTTTTAACTTGGAGACTGCCATCGACTGCCTCAACTTGTCATGGGAGGCGTATGTGGCGACTGAGAGACAGGGAGAGACGGAGGGGGTGGCAGATGTAGTGGAGTTTG